ATGGATTGATGTTTCTGCCCCTCACATTTGAGTTTCCTCTTTCATCTCAACTACAAAATGTTGACGTAGTTCTCCATAAAGCAACTGATGAGATCTTATCTGTTCAATTGTGGCCTTGGCAAGATTCAGCTGGAGTTACCTTCACCCATGGCATGCAGGAACTGCAGATGTAAGTTTGAATGGTGTTGAAATTTTACCATGTTACCTGGATCATGTTGTCATATAGCACCTCAAATAACGTCCCATTTAGCATCTGGCATTTGGATTTCTTTGTGCTTCAAGTTATCAAGCTATATTAGGAAAATAATTTTGGTTGTGGAAATAGTGCTAACAAAGTAAGGGGATTTGGCCAGTGCTCTCAAGTGATGATCAATCATCATTTTGTCCCAGGTAATCATGGCAGGTTCATTAGAAGGTAGTGGAGGCAAAGCTTTCATTGTTCTGTCAGCAATTTTTGGAACGTGATTGAGTTGGCTTAAGGTGCAAAAGTACTCTATTTGAATTTAGGATAATGAGTTGGAAAAAATTGCTGGGAGAATCTATGGTTAATAATATGTATAACTAGTCTGTCTCAGGTTCTAAATTTAAGAGGAATTGACCTGTGCACAGCACCTTGAGCCACTATGAACTGCTACTGTGCTCTAGCTCATTTTATTAGGAAGGCATGATTGAATAGGTAATTTCTATGTGATTTCACCAAGATGAGGGGCATCATTTAGTCTTATTCTTTGAGTAGGCGTCTTCGCTATTATTTTTTGAAATTTATTCTGGAACAAGGTTTAGATATATATGAGATGTAAAGTTTTGTTGGGTCGATGAACAAATTTTCAGCTAGTAGGGGAGATTGATGGACAATAAGGTCTATTGTAAAAAAATTTCATTCTTATGCAGGTATCTAAACCATCAGCCTGATTGCCTTATTGTCGACCCATTTGACAATATTTACCCGTTATTGGATCGTTTGAAAATGCAGCAGATTCTACTTGGATTGGAGGATCTTAACACGGCAGGCAGTAGGATAAGGGGCCCTCACTTTCTTCAGGTTTTTCTTTGAAATGATGCTTATTTTGTGCTTTTTGTTGATCTCGTAAATTGAAACACATTGAATGATGGAATCAATGCCAGCTTTTCTCTTTTTCTGGTTAACAATTCTGTACCAGATACATGATGTTATACAATATTAGGTCTACAGTATAAGCTGTCACGAAAGTTTATATTTTCTGGGCAGCAAGTTGCACCACAAATTAATGCAGGGATATGATCCTCTGAAACTTGCTATCATAATCCGGAGTCTTCGTTAATGATCTCATAATGAGAATGCTCTAGGTTCTTGTCAGTTCTCATATTATTAGCCAAAGGACTGACTTCATGTGTATTTTGCCTTCAGTTGAAAAATTGAGGGGAAAGATAGTTGAAACTTTGGTGAAGTATAGTTTTCTATATCAGAATTGATCCTAAAGACATAATAGATTAGGGAATCATGCTTAATTTGGTAATGTCCATGAGATCAATGCCTCTGGAGTAGTGAAAAGCAGTGTTCTGACCTGCTACAGAATAACTTTCTTCTTCACCTAGCCCCAGGTTTAGAACATTGAATTATGCCTTGGCTTACTACTGGCTGCACTTGCATATCTAGAATATGAGTGTTTTCTTCTTAATCCCAGTTACGTCCAACTCTCCTTTTCAGGTTGATAATTTTAGCGATCCAGACTTACCAAGAAGGCTATCAGAGGCTAAATTATCTCTTCCAAGTATTGTGAAACTCAGGTTGCTTGTGGTGTTGCTGATGCCCATAGCATGGTAAATTTTCCTACTTTGTGAGGCACAAGAATAGGTTGTCTTGCCTAACAAAACATTCTCTTTTTATTTACAATAAATGTCAATAAACTCAGCCAGGTATTTAGGATTTTATCTTTAATAGGGAATCTATACATTTTCCTTCGATATTTTTTTTATTGTAATTAATACATACTTTGCTGGGCTTACCGTGACTTTATGCTTCTACTGTAAATATATAAGATGGATAATTACTCAGCCAGGTATTTAAGATTTTATCTTTAGTTGGGATTATATATATATTTTCAAGGAGATTTCTCTTTTTAGTTTTTACTTGAACTGTAATTGACATACATACATTGCTTGGCCTACCATGATATGCTTTTATTGTAAATTTATAAAACGGATAATTGTGGGCCTTGCCTCTGTATTGAAAATGCTATTATTTCTTTCCTTTTCGTGAATTGCAGCCACAAAAATGATTAAATATTGTCTCTGCATGAGCATTATTGTTCTATAAAACCATTGTTGTTAGATGGTACACCATCGAGTGTGACTCAACTTATACTGCCTTTAATTTTTTGGTAAGCAACTAAGCACCTCTACAAGTTATGAGGGTCATCACAAGTTTATTCCTAGATAAATCTAGTAAGAGTCATTTTGAAAAATCCATCTATTATGCATAGATTGTAATCTTTACATTGTATTTTCAACTTTGCTTTTTCCTGTGGATAATCTTTTTTTTTTTTAATCAAAGGCAATTGTCTTTCGAGTTGAAGATTTTAAAGGTTTGACTGTTCCTCTTCCTGCTGTTATTCAGGTGAACACAAACTGCTCTCTATTTTGAGATTGATTTATATGGTTGATGTTCTGTTGAATCCTTCTCTCTTATTTTTACATTTTCAAGTTGCATCATGTGCTTTGGTATTAGTTGATCACTAGTGTTAGTTTGAATTCAGCTTCTTGGTTTATGGTGTGTCGGGAATTGTTTTCTCGCTTTTTTGTTGTGAGAATATCATGGTTAGGTTAAGGTTGTTCTGGTTACTGTATCTTTAATATTCAAAAGGTTCACTACTAAGTATATCAGCTTTGTATTACAGTGCACAAAAAGGAGGGTGTGGAACCCTTGGAAGCAGCAAAAGAAAGGAGTTTGAATCTGTAATTGGCTAGGAAGTTAATTTTTTAAAGGGACTAATAAGATCTAGAATTCTTTAAAATTTTTATTTAGTATTAAAATTTAGATGACATAATTAGAATAAAACTGAAACTATGATTCCTAGAATTATATCTTGACTTAGATAGGAATTGGAATAAAAGAGGGATCATAATTCCTAAAAATAGATATATTGTCATGAATAAAATCAACAAATAAGAGTTTTTCCTAAAAAGATTGAAGTTTTATTCATTAGCCTCACTGTAGGCCAGAAATCAGAAAGCAAGTAGCTTCCTTGCTTAGGGCCCTCATGTTAGAAGCCCCATTGACCAAATCCAAAGTCTGACCCTGCCACCATTTGTGAGTGTTGCAACAAACAGCACAACCATTGATGTGTGCTATATACACATAGACAAAGATTGATGTGACTGACCAAGCCTTAATTATTGTCTCCTAGATGTTTCCTTCTTTTTTCTTGGAATATGAAACCTTTATAAATCTTGAATTCTTAAGTAGTCTCTCGTAAAGTCTAAATGATTGGATATGTGGAGAAAGATAAGCATTCATCTTGGCATTTTGGATTGAGTTGTCCAAAACTTTCTTCCCATTAACAACCTTGTTATTCTGTATATAATGAGACTTTTTCTTTTTAATCTTCAAGCTGCATCATTTAACTGGGGCATTGGAATTGGTTATAACTTGATCTTTTTTTTTCTTTTTTTTTTTTTTGAAGAAAAAGTGGTATTCTAATATTGAGACGTCATAACAGTGAAGCATTAGATTATCAGATGAAATGTAACAGGATTTAGTACTTGGGGACAAGCATGCTCCTGGTACTGAGATTAATTTATCTGAGGTGTCATCTAACTTAGTCCTTTTCTTTTTCCTGAAGGGGGTTAAGGACAGATTGGCTTAATTTCCTCCCTGGCTAATTAGAATATCTGGAATTGCAGGAATATGTGGACCATTCATCCACATTGTTCAAGTTTTATGTCCTTGGAGAGCAAGTTTTTCATGCAGTTAAGAAATCCACACCAAATGCTGATGGTTTGAGGAAATTATCTGAGAAAGATGGGCTAAAACCTATACTCTTTGACAGGTAGCATTCATTTTTTTAGTCTTTTAATTTTTTGGTTGGTCTGCACTTGAGATAAAAAATGATAATCATAACATGTTGGTCTCATTTCACAGCTTAAAATCTTTACCCACTGACACTGGAAACCAGAATTCTGCAAATGAGGTTAATCTTGGGCTAGTTAAAGATGCTGCTGATTGGCTTAGAAAAAAGCTTGATCTTACCATCTTTGGCTTTGATGTTGTTGTAAGTACTCTATATGAATATCCTTGATTATCTGCCAGGCAGTCTGTATTTTTTAATTAAATTAGAGGCTTGATTGGTTTCCTTTTTATAAATTCTTTGTAGTAGTGTGGTATCATTGTTAAATAATATCTTTGAAATATATCAGAAGGAAAACAAACCCAGTCTTCCATGACAATATTGTTTCCCACTCTAGCTCCTAACATCACAGACCAGTTGAATGAGGGTTCCTGAAACTGTGATTTTTTTTGCTGCCATATATTATTCCTGTTTGTGTATATAATAAATACATTTATATATACATGTCAGTTATCTGCAGGCCATCACTTGCTGCTAGAATGAAGGTAAGGGCTAATATAGAGTCGTGCTTATTCAATCTATATGCTAACATAGTGTTCTATGATAATATTTCCTTGTACATGCATAGAAGATTAGGAGATCGGAGAAGTTGGTTGCATTTGATTATAAAATTTTTGTATAGAAGTCATCATTTGACAAGCCTTGGACACCCAGATAGGCAAAATCTTCTTAGTTATTGCATGTTGTATGCAGAATCTCTGCATGAAAAGTAATGATCTGTATTTGTTAGAGCTCTCTGCATGAAAAGTATAGATCCGATTATGAATTCTATGCATCCTGGAAGAAATTGTTTAAGCCAAGATGTAGATGAGGGTTTGAGATGTTTTATCTAGACAAATTTTTTCCATAAAGGACAAGAATATTAAGTTCATTCAATTTATGAAAATATTTTCTAGTTTTGATATATACTTTCTTAACAAAATCGTAATCGTAAGTTAATAAGTTAATAATAAAGATAATAATATTGAAAGTGATGATAGAGGTAGAAAATTTTCAAATGCTTTTTTGTATCTTTTAAAAACTATTTTGTTTGTGTTTTGATTGTTAATAAATATGAAATTCTTATATATTTTATGAATAAATATATATGCACAAAAACACATGAATCTAGAAAACAAAAAATTAAAAAACTACTTTTATGTATTAATGGAGCCTTAATATCTTATATCAATTTTGTCTTGAAATGTGCCATTGATTTTATGGTTTTCTAATAGATCTGTGTTCTACTCTGTTGGACATTTTAGATTCAAGAAGGCACTGGAGAGCATGTTATCGTGGATCTAAACTATCTTCCCTCGTTCAAAGAAGTGCCTGACGATGCTGCAATACCTGCATTTTGGAATGCCATTAGGAAAAAGTTTGAATCAATGAAGATGAAGTGAGTAGTTCTCTCTTTCTCCTCTCGAGTTTTATCCCCATTTGTCAGATTGAGAAACGGAAGAGAACAAATCGAAATAGCAACTGGTTGGGTGTTGGAGATCAAATTCGGGTATCAGAATATGAAGTGGGGAGAGAATCTTTTTTTTTTTTTCTAAAATAAAAAGTATGAATGTATATTAACAAACATCAAGAGAGTACCGCCTATTTACAAGTTTTTTATGAATCTGTAATGATATTAATGTTATTTTCAAAATCTTCCCACTTATAAATGTCATGATCCACCTAATCGACTAGTGGCGAGAGAATCACGATCAAATCTTTTGTAATTGTCCTAGTTGTCTTGAATCCTCAAAAATTTTCAGGTACGGATATTGCCACTGATTGAAGATGTTTCTGTGTTTGGCTGTATATCGCTGAAATGCCAAAGAAATAGTAAACAGTCCTTAGTTACATTAAAATTCTCCATATGTCTAGATATTCTAGCTCGGTTTAGTAGACTACTTTTGAGCTTCGATTTAGCTTAAAGTTTGATTCAAATACTTTTGGAGTCTTGAGCTCGTCTCTAAATGATGTTATAGGATCGACCTCCATTCTCCTTAAGGAATGGAGTCTTTATAAGATTTTGGTTTCGTGCTTTGCTTGACACTCAAAATCAGAAAATAGAATAAAATATATTTATTATATTATTATAGTAATAAATATATATTAAAATAAATTATTAATAAATATGAAAATAATAATATAATATAGTATTTCTTAATCAAATAAAATATATTATGATAAAATATCACTTCATATGAGAAGCAATCACAAATAAGAAGGTTGAGATTAAGTATTCGAAGGCTGAAAAACAAGTGGCTAACATCTTTATGAAAGCAATACCACGAACAAAGTTGGAAAAATTAATGACTATGCTTGGAGTTGAAAAAAAAGTCCATTTATGAGAAATATTAAATTAATGAGACTTTTTTTTAATTATACTGAAATATTTCAAAAGATTATTATAAAGGAATTTAAACATTTTCTAAAAAAATTTAAAAGATGTAGGAATAAATTCTAGAAGATGATAATTTTAAAACGTATAAAACTATAGAGATGAAGAGAGAAATATAGAAAAAAAAATGTAGAAAAGAAAAAATTTCTAAATTTTTTGTAAAACATTTATAAATGCATGTAAATATATCATTTATAGTATATAAATATAAAAAATTATTATTATTTTCCCTAATCTCCAAATAAAATTGTTGTTGGTACTTACACACGATAATTATAACTATAAAATTATCGTATATTACTTATACTTCTTAAAACACATTCAAACTATTTTTCAACTATAATTTTTATGGGTAAAATATTAATTAGTATTAAATTAATTCTAATAAGATATATCTTTTACACTCTTAATAAATAAGAAAGTCAAATTTTATAAGACCAATTAAAATGTATAGGGCTTAATTTAGTAGTTGCTTGGAAAAGATATGGGATTCAAAAAGCAAAAGCAATTGGGTAAAAGCATGAAAAGGGGGGTGAGATTATAGGAATCTCAAAATGGGATGGAATATACATAGTGATGGGTAGGCATACTAAAGAGCTTATCCAAGAGAATGAGCATTTTGTGTATGGCCCCTATGCACCCAAAAAAAAAAATAAAAAACAATAAGTAGTTTTTCCTTGGAATGAGCATAAATGGCTTTAAAAAGATTAAAACAAGGACCATGTCCCTTGTTTCTCCTCCCAAAAACAAAACCCATAAAGAAGAAAACACAACAAGAGACAAGATTTATCGAGCAGGAATTCCACCAAACCCTCTACTTTTTAGGTACCATCTTCATATCCACACATCATATGCATTTTACACACTTTTTTCTTTTTCTCAAATTATTTAAACAGACAAAAAATTAAATTCGTTTGCCTTTCATAATTTATTTGACTTTCATATTGTTTTACCGTTGTATGCACATCATAAAACTTTCAAAATTGAAATATATTATATTGTATCGAAGATGTTTATTACTTTTGCTTCAAGCCTTTTTCTTTTTTGGGTGAAAATTGCAACAATCATTTTCAAAATTGGATAATCTTTAATTCCCAAATCAAAATAAGTTGGAACTCATTATTAGAATTATGACCCTTTTGAAATAAATGGGATATTGCTTTTTTAATTTCTATATCTCCATCTTATGGTACTTTTTCTATTCATGCCATAACTCATATCATTAATTTTCTCTTCTTTTTATGCAATAATATACCTATAATTAATTTGAAAAAAGTCACTATACCTATTATTGTATGTACCTACTAGTCCTTTCCACATGATTTATTAATTAGCATTTTCACATTAACTTAAATTAAAATCAAATTACATATGTGCACATAAATTTCCAAATCAAGTGATTAAAAATTTATCCAAATGGGTATTTCAAAAAATTAAAATTGCATTTGAATTTCTTTTGGCTACAACCTAAAATCATATATGAAATTACAAGAATAAAAATCCACTAAGACTACAAAAGGATAAACAAGACACAGAAGATATGTCGCTTTTGTCCCAAATTCCCAAGAATAATAATGGGTAAAAAGGAAAATATAGTGGCACGAAATGTGAATACTTAGAAATTTGAGGACGAATGTGAAATGTCCGTCAGTGCGAATTAGGAAAAAGTAAAGGGCTCAATTGCAAAAAACCGAAAAATTTGATAAGAGAGACGTTGTGGAGATCCCGCCACCATTTCCTTGCTATAAAACTGAGTCGGTTGAATATTTAGGTCAATGCGAAATCAAATCAAGAAGAAATTGATTTCAGTATTTATGGCCAGTTGATTCTTTTTCCTCCTCTGTAAATCGTTGCTTCTTACAGATTACCTATTCTCTTCTTCCCTGAGAGTATCCGGCTAGGGCTTCGTTTCAGGGACAAGCTTCCGTCATGGGATGCTCCACGTCGAAACTCGACAGCTTACCGGCCGTTTCACTGTGCCGACTCCGCTGCAAATTCCTTGAGGAAGCGCTCCACCAAAGCTACGTTCTCGCAGATGCGCACGTTGCTTACATGCAGTTCCTCAAAACTATTGGCCCAACTCTCCACCGCTTCTTTGAGAAAAATGTTGACTCTTCGTCTGGGGGTGATCCGGCCGTCTCCGTCGCCATACCTTCCAAGTCTTCTCCTCCTGCGTTGTTGCCGGATCATTCCATGTCCGGTTTAAGCTCCGATTCGCATCTTCAAGTCGATTCAGATTCCGATGGCGAAGGAGAAGATAGGGATATATTTTACTCAGAATATCCTAATCGCGAAACTATAACTTCAATTCCTGATGATATGTTTCTTTCAATGGATTACGCGAAGAATCAACCTACTCAATCTGTTTCGTATGCTTACTCTAATCGTAGTGATTATTACACTAACTCGTTTCGTAATTACGAATTAGGATCCACAACACCGCCGCCTCCAGCTCCAAGAAGCTCTGTTTGGGATTTCTTAAACTTCTTTGAAGCCTGTGAGTTGCCTTACGGTCTTATTTTTAAAGAACCGAACGAAAAAGGAGGGACTCATGATCTTGAAGATGTTTCAGTCAATCAAACTCGCGGAGAAAAGAAATCTCATGCAAATCATTCGAGAGCCGACGTACAAAAGGACGTTAGTAAACAGAATGGGTCGGAAAAGAATGGCTATGGGGCGGAGAAGAAAGTAATTTCAGAGAAAGAGAAGAGTGGTTCAAGTGAAACACGGAGTGGAAGTCTTCAGAAAAGCGTCTCCGAGATTATGAGAGACCTGCAGAGTTTATTTGAGAAAGCTTCAGAGTCAGGAAATGAGGTTTTGAAGATGCTTGACACTGCAAAGTTCCGTTATTACCAAAAAAATTCTGTTTATCAAGGTATATAAGTTGAATTTTGGTTATGTTATCTTTCCTTTTTTAAGGCTCTGTTTGAGGGTGGAACTAAAGTGGGTTATTTTGTAGTCACATTAAAGTATGAGATAAAATGGACTAAAATGGAAGCATGGCATTACTAATGAGTGAGACATTAACACTATGCTGTAAGTCACTGACTGCCGAATTGCCCTTCAATCCCGCTCTCTCCTGTTCCGAAAACAGAGCGCTATATGTTTTATGAATTTTAGAAGCTTTAGTTAAGAAGAAACATTTTTCCTAATGATTTTATCTATTTATTTATATATCTTTGCGAAGCAGTTTCCTCCAAAATGAAGATCTTGCACGTTGTCACGCCATCTTTGTCTGTCATGTCGTCTCAATCTTCCACAGAGAAGGTTGGTTCTGTAAATCCTGGCTTTGATGACGATTTCAATGTGAGTTTTAGGAATCTATCTTCTACTATGAAGAAGCTCTATATGTGGGAGAAAAAACTCTATCACGAGGTCAAGGTATGAACTATTGTGAGTGGGAAAGTGGTCTTTCTGTTAATTTTTGGCCTATTCTCCTCAAAATGCTCAAATCTAGTTTTCTTTGGCTCAAAAGAAAGAATGAAAAGAACCAAGTTAGATTTAACTTCATCTTCCAATCTGCAAATATATTGAGTAAATTTGTAATTCAGTAATAGAAGGGACAGTGTATGTGAATTAATTTATAATTATTATGGTGTGATTATCTATCTTTAATTCCTGTATTTGAGTACCATGAACAATAATTTGATATGGCTACAGGCAGATGCTGAATTGAAATTGTGGACTTGAACTACTTTTTCATATATTGTAAATCTCAACTTGATAATAACTACATGTTTGCATTTAAATGATGACAGTCAAGATATGTTATTGTATCTAATTTTGGCCTTCGGAGTACAGCCCGTAGACCATAGGGGAACAAGCGTCAATAGCTCGCTTGATTCAGAAATTATGGAACTTGTTTTTGGAATTAAGGCACTGAGAAAACATCACATTTTATAGATTTTCTCTAGATTACGGCCTATTCTCTCATTGACCATAGTTCCAACATTTTTATTTATGTTCACCTTATTTTTAAATTCTTACTTCTCTTTTGGTAGGAAGTTTATTCAAATTTCCCCCTTTGTTTAATTCGTCTGTCCTTTCCTAAGACGCAGTTGAAAAACAGTGATGTCAAATTTACATGACTTATCAGTATGTGTACTTCGATTGCTGACTGGTTATATCTTCATAGGATATTGTTGGGAAAAACTTATAACATATTAAACGACCAAGCAACAAATTTTCAGTCAAGGGAGAAAGTTAATGCTAAAACCTGAGCATGATATATTTCTATTCTGATCCTTATTTAACCTTCTAAATGTTCTTCCCTTCTGTTTTTGTTTCATGTTTTAGTTGACTTCTGCCTTCTCTCTTTTTTTTTTTTTACTTGACATGGAGTGAGGTGGTAAGTTACTGTTTGAGACTAACTTTAGCCTGTACTTTTTTGTAGGCTGAGGAAAAATTGAGAAAACTTCATGCCAGGAAGTGTAGGCAGATAAAAAGGTTGGATAAAAAGGGTGCTGATGCTCATAAAATTGAATCTACCCAAATTTTCATCAGGACTTTATCCACCAAGATGAAAGTTGCAATTCATGTTATTGAAACGATATCAGTTACTATTAATAAGTTGAGGGACGAAGAATTGTGGCCACAAATCAGTGATCTGATTCAAAGGTATGTGATTGCTTAAGCTTCAAACCAGTCCATGTTCCACTCCTTCAAGAAATTGACCCATGTGTTGGAAATGACAGAAAAATTTGTTCTCTTTTCCTGAAAAAGGAAGCACGAATATATCACATTGTTTTTGAAAAGATAGAATTAACTGGAAGATACTGGAAACATTGAGTATTATTATTTCATCTGTACCTTTTAGCATTCATTGTCCAACAGAATGTTTTTGAGCTTCTAGTACACCTTCTATCATAAACATATTAATCAAAGATGTCGATAAAGTCCAAGAAAAATAAGATATAAAGAGAATGATTTCTTCCACCAAAAGAGAGGAAGGTTTTGGCTTGTTACTAAGGCACAAGTATAAATACTCATTAATTCACCAACGAGATCATAATCATTGGTGACAGTTTGAATGATTGCGACTAAGAAGATTTGGAAATGATGGAAAGAATGTTTAACCAATATATATTTTCCGCTTCTGGAGCTAGAAACTCTTATGATTATTAGAGGTATAGCTGTTCTTGATTTATGTAATATCAAAGGCATTTCAACTTGTGAATGGAAAGTGGGGAAAATCAATATAAACATAGCATTCCAGAGTTTCCTCTGTCCGTTTCTGTCTCTCATGCATTATTTTCTTTTTAAAATCCATGATTTCTAGTATTTGATAAATTCTGAATGAGGTTTAACCTTGGTGCTGATTGTCATAATTTCCCATATCAGTTGGTGAATTTTCCATCACCATTTCGCTTTTTTTTTGCCCCTCCTTTTAGGTTACTTGAAATGTGGAAAGCTATGCTAGAATGTCACAGGAACCAATCTCAGACAATTGCAGAAGTCAGAATTCTGGACACAACTGCATCAAATGAAAAACTTAGCACTTCTCATCTTGAAGTGGCCATGCAACTAAAACTTAAGCTACAAAGCTTTTACTTAAGCTTCTTTTATTGGATTGAAGCACAAAGGGGTTATGTCAAGGCTTTAAATGGTTGGCTACTAAGATGTATTCTACGTGGTTCTGAAGATTCACATGATGGTCTTGTGTCCTTCTCACCCCAGAGGATTGGACCCTCCCCTCTGTTTGGAGTTGTTAGCCAGTGGTCTGAAGTCCTTGATAAACTCCCAGATAAGGTGGTGATTGAGGCAATTGACAGATTTTTAATGAGCTTAAGTCAACTTTTGGGACTGCACAATCTAGATGCACAGCAGAGGATCATTGCTGACAAGGAAATGGAAAGAAAAATGTTGATATTGGAGAAAGAGAGGCAAAACCTGCAAAGGGTTATACATACTCAAGAAGAAATGACTCTGTTTTACAGGGAAAAGAGTGGTGTAGTTTTAGCTAAAGAGGGAGTCAACTTGACTGAAATCACTAAAAATTCTTGTCTGCAATTGAGTCTAGAACAGATTCTCATGGCCCTGGAGATGTTTGCTACCAGCTCAAAGCAAGCTTATGAGGAACTTCAAGCAAGTATTGAAGAAGGCTGGTCTCGTCTAGAGTCTTGATTTGGAGTTTCTGCAGAGATTCTTATTGGACATGTCTGTCAATCATGAAATATGTCACATGTATTTTTTGCTACATTTATTATCTCTGATCCAGCACTCGGTGATTGGTTGATTCTGATAGAGTATCAGATAATACCCAGATTATGGCTAATCGCTGGTAGTTATTCCCTCGTTTTGTCAATGAGGTCTGACTTCATTGTTTGGTAGGCACCTTGGCTTCTGCTTCTTCTCATGAACTTGAGTACTTGACAGATTTTGCATTGTCGGTCAACTAAGTTGCAGGTAAAATGTCCTGTTTATGATCAGCCGCAGGTTATGCGGCCAGGTTGCTGTGAGAGAATAAACCAAGCAATTGAATAAGACTTGTCTGCGCATTAGCCATTTTACATTGGAAACGAAGAGAGGTGGAGTCTGTCAGGTATGCTTGATCGGAATCTCTTTTAACATTTAACCAACTGCTTCAAGAGGTTGTTTATATATATATATATATGTATAGAAACTGCTTCAAGAGGTAGCTTATCATACATTAGCACCCCATGTACTGCTTTAGCCCCAAAATAATTCTCTAATGGATTTTGATCCTGTCTGCTGAGGTACATGTAATGGACTACAACAGTTCAAAACTCCAAGGTACTATCTTTTAAGATGAATAGTGTTGAAGAATCTTTCAGAGACATGAATGTGTTTGGAGTCCAAAGAGCATTCAAGGAAGTTCCTCCCTAAAATAGACACCGAGTTCTTTGCAGTCTTTTGTATTATAAGTTATTAATTGAAAGAAGAATAATTTTTATAGCCGTATGAAAAGCAGCATTTGCACACACAGCAGTCTTGTATTTATCTTTTGAGAATAAGACAATTCAAAAATCCTTTTAATAATTCAAATATAATATATATTCTTAATAACCTCAATATTCTAATAAAATACATTAGGTACATATATTTTTTTGCGTAATTCAAAATCAAATAACGTGATCAAAAAAATAATTTAATGTGAATTGATCAACTAACGTAAGATAAAAATTTTTATCACGTTAGTTCATTCTGAGTTTTGCAACTAACATGATCACGTTATAATGTTTCTATATTTTGAGTAATTACTATTTACTAATATATTTCATACCCCAAATAAAATGATAATCCACTTATTAAAAAAATAAAAAAATTATTAAATTTAAAAGGAAAAATTATTGGTAATATGAGAATGAGTTCAAATTTCATAGGAAGAACTATGAAATTTATTTATAAATTTTATTTTTTTATATTTGGAATTGCTTTATAATTTTTTTTAAAAAAAAATCAAATTAGTAATGTACAGAATTGAAACAAATACATTTCAAATTCCATTTTAACTATGAATTTTTAAAATGAAATGTGTAAACGAATTTATGAGAGTTCTAAAGAGAATTAACTATAAACCATTAAAGAATTTAATTTTGGATTTTTTTTTAAAATTTTGACAATTTTGTTATGGATTTTAAGATAAATGATTGTGAATATATTTATTTTATACCATTGAACTATTAATGTATTAAAAATTTGCTTGATTTATAAAATAATTTTGAAAATATAATTTAGTGATTAACTCTTTTAAATACATATAATTTTTGTGATATTTGATTTAATTACACTTATCGAATTAATTATTAAAACTTAGAAAGCATTCAATTTCTTAATTCAACATTGGCATAATTTTGTCGCTCTTCGGCCCATTTAAGTCTTATAACTTCTTGGTCGAGACCCAAGCCCAGAGGCCCAGCCTCAACCCTGGCTCCTGAAAACAACGCCGTTTTAAAGAGCTTAAATAATTGTTCCCAGCCTACAGCCTGGGGCTTAAAACGACGCCGTTCGTTTTAAGGGGCATCATAAGGATTCCCAGACTCGAGGACGAGTTCTGTTCCATTCCCAGCCTTGAGAGCCAAGCCCATCGGCCCAGCATCAACCCTAGCTCCTGAAAACAACGCCGTTTTAAGGAGCTTAATAATTGTTCCCAGCCTCAAGCCTGGCTCATTAAAACGACGCCGTTCGTTTTCAAAAGCTTAATGAGGGTTCCCAGCCTGGAGCACGAGTTCTGTTCCATTCTTTCTTCTTCAGCTGCAACACAGAAAGGGGTCATGGTTATGTTAGCACAAAAAGGGCAAAACCTTAGGGATCGTGTGGCTTGCGGCTAGGGCTTGAAAGACCGAGCAGATACCGAAAGAAAAAAGAAAAGTCAGAAAAAAGAGCTTGAATAAATCTTAAAACCCTAACCCTCCTCTTTTTCTCGTTTCTGCATCACTAATCGTTTCCGATGGCGGGAGGAAAGATCAAGAAAGAGAAAGCAAAGTCAAATCGCGCACCAGCAAACCACTACCAAGGAGGCATATCCTTCCACAAGTCCAAAGGTCAACACATACTCAAGAATCCTTTATTAGTGGACTCCATTGTGCAAAAAGCTGGAATCAAGAGCACCGATGTCATCCTCGAAATCGGTCCCGGTACCGGAAATCTTACTAAGAAGCTTCTTGAAGCTGGAAAGGAAGTCATCGCCATCGAGCTTGATTCTCGTATGGTTCTCGAGTTGCAGCGGCGGTTTCAGGGGACTCCGTTCTCTAATCGCCTGAAGGTATATATATTGTTTATTCCTGCAATTTTTCATCTTGTTTTCCGTGAAATCAGAGAAAGAAAGCGGATACTTTACAGTTCTCCTTGAAGTTGAAGAGTGTGGTGTATATGTATTTGTTAATGAATTAAGATTTGACCTTTCTCCTTTTACATTTAAGTTGATTACCGTTTTTGTTCTTTATTGATTTGATTTAGGATAGAGGGATATGGTAGCTGAAAAGCATGATAGGACTACAGATAATAAAACTTTCTGCAACTCCTTTTTTTTATGAATCAAAACTTTCTGCAACTTAATAGCCGTAGTTGTTGGTTAATACACTGTAATTGTGTGGTGTTCTTCTGACTGGAAGGCTAACTTTTTTTTTTTTGTTTTTTATTACAACGTAGTATATGTTTTTTTTATAGATAAATGTAGTATATGTTAATTTTCCGCTGAAGTTGGAAAATTTTCTATCATGAACTAGAACTTACATAACCAGTTGGTCAAAACGCATTAATTGAAAGGTCCAACCTTATACAAGATTAATCTTTATCTGACATGAATTATCTGAATTCTGAATATTTAAGGTTAATGTACATATTTACCGGGGTTTGTGTTTATATGGATATGTCAATAATTCTGGTCTTACTTTCAAGAATGTATGTACAGCTGTATAAGACTATAAGGTTGTGATTAGTTCATTTTGTGTTTTAATTCTTGTTTATTTCTACCTCTTAGTGTCATATTAATCTTAGTAGGCATAAATTTGAACGGAAGTTTTTGTATTTTAGTTCCTGTCTTTGAATTCATGGTGGGAATTCAATTCCTTCAGATTGAATTTTCACCCTTATAGAATTTAAGGTGGATTAGTGACAAGTCAATCTGGTTTGAGTTTATTCTATTACCAATCAATTTTATGTCTTAATTATTTGATTCGTAGGATTTAGTCATATTTTATGAACCCCCTGTTTGTACTTTGAAATTCATAATGGCATATTTGTGTATCCACTTGTTAATGAATGAATGAAAAAATTATCTTGAATTGGATATAGAAATTGACTTAAAATTTATTCAAATTTTTATTTCATTTTTATTGTATTCTAATTTCTATCAGTAAAATTGAGATGTGATCTGAACTAAATCTAAATCATATATGCATATTAAGTTTAATATGAAAATTACAACCTATGAGGATCGAGGAAATTTGATAAATACTTAGATAGATTTGTAAAGCATTTCGTATGCATATACAGGTTGCCTTCTTGGTGCTATATATAGTACACTAATTTTTATTTTAAAAAAGTTTAATGTGAGAATTAGAATTAAGAATTGGCTAGGAAATAAACTAGGCACATGGTATATTAGATCTTCTCTTAGGAGGTACAGTGGACTAAAGGAAATTCTTCTTTTCATTTTTGAATTGCCTTTTCTATGCTATTTATAGTACACTAATTTTTATTTTAAAAAATTTTAATGTGAGAATTAGAATTAAGAATTGGCTAGGAAATAAACTAGGCACATGGTATGTCAGATCTTCTCTTAGGAGGTACAGTTGACTGAAGGAAATTCTTCTTTTCAGTTTTGAATTGCCTTTTCTATGCTATGAACCAGAATACTAATTTTAAGTGCTGTAAACATGCTGTAAATGCTAATTTTAAGTGCTGTAAACATGCTGATGACAAAATAAACCTGCTTTTTTTTAAGACAAATGAACCAGAATGTGAATCCTGCAATCTGTTTGAATGAGAGGTAACACTATCCGATTGTTTAATCTGCCAAGACTGATATTTTTGTTGTGTGCTTATTTTTGGTAGGTCATCCAGGGTGATGTGCTAAAGACCGATCTTCCCCATTTTGATATTTGTGTGGCAAACATTCCTTACCAAATATCTTCTCCCCTCACTTTCAAATTATTATTTCACCAACCTGGCTTCAGGTGTGCTGTCATTATGTTTCAAAGAGAATTCGCAATGAGGCTGGCTGCTCAGCCTGGAGACAATCTCTATTGTCGTCTTTCTGTAAATACCCAGCTCTATGCTCGAGTATCTCATCTACTCAAAGTTGGGAGGAACAATTTCCGGCCACCACCAAAGGTTGATTCATCTGTTGTTCGAATTGAGCCCAGGAAACCACGTCCACAAGTGAATGCTAAGGAGTGGGATGGATTTATACGAATTTGTTTCATTCGAAAGAACAAAACCCTTGGTTCCATTTTCAGGCAGAAAAATGTACTTTCGCTACTGGAGAAGAACTACAAGACCTTACTGTCACTACAGTCTCAAAATGATTCCTCTGAGGATGCTACTATGAATATATTGAGATTGGGGGATTCTAATGGGGATCAAAGCATGGAGATGGATGATGAAATGGATGATGAAATGGAGGTGGAGGATGGCGAGGGAGATGGTGAGGTTTCGGAATTCAAGGACAAGGTCTTGGCTGTGTTAAGGGAGGGAGATTTTGAAGAGAAGAGGGCTTCCAAACTCTCACAACAAGAGTTTTTATTTCTACTCTCTCTGTTCAACAAAGCTGGCATTCATTTCTCTTGATTTAGTTCTCAAATATCTGCAGCGTCTTCTCAAGTCATGTATGTAATTCTTGGTATAATTTCTTCTCAAGCTGGCATTCATTTCTACTCTCTTGATTTATAATTTGGAACTTTCTACTTAACTTTTTGTTTACTGTATTGCTTAAGCTTATCCTAGGATAGATATGTCTTGCAAATATCCCAGGGTGCTGGGAAATTTTGGTCTATACCAGCTGTCAGCAAAACTTTGTATTGATTTAACAAGATGAGATATTATCTTATGCATCGAGTAGACTCACATTCAGTATTATAGTTTTATTAGTAACTTAAATGAAATTTTATTTTTAATTAAACTATTGTAGAAGTATATATATGGCTGGATGGCAGAATAATGTTTCTGCAGTGTGGTTCTTTCATTTAGTGATGGTTGGAGAATAAGGAGCATGAGAAGACAGCATAACAAGAGAGGTTTTTGGTAATCTAGAAGATCTTGGATTGAAAAGAATCCTCCTAGCGTCTGTATCTATACTTGTATAAGTATATATTTTTATTGTGAACAAAAATTGAATCCTCATCCCCTGCTGTGCCATGATTATCATGGATCTTCCTGGTTGAATCATCATCCCCGCTTGATCCTTCTTTTTTTTGTTTTACTAATGCTAGAATACTGTATCTCTTGATAATAATATAAAAGTTAATGGAATTCTCAGTTGTTCTCTTGCTTGGTTCTTTTGATCATTGAAGGAATGGAAATGAAAATTTTCAAACTTTTCTGCCTTTTTAGAGGAATCTTTTACTTAATGGGAGATAATATTTTCAACATTGTACATTTATTATATATTATTTTAATATAAATTCTATTCTAATCAAAGTTAAAAAATTTGATGTTGGATGTAAATAATGTAAATTAAACATAAAGAAAATAAAAAAGTGGGGGGGGGGGTGGGGGGGTT